TCTCTCCTCCATTCTCCACTTCACCATCAGCATAATACTCTTATGGGTAATGTATTGACTGGGGTCTCATGGTTAATGAGAAAGGGGAGGTGGTGCGAGTGAGGAAAATTAGATATCATAGCTTCCTTCCATTAGGCCTCACCTCCTAAAAGTTCTACCACCTCTGAATAGTGCCACAGACTAGGGGACAAGCCTTCAACACCTGGGCCTTTTGGAGACACTCAAAATCCAAACCATCATCATCCATCTTCAGACCTCTGATGAAACCTACCCTAATTTTTCCTCAGTCCACACCTTTGGTCTCAGGTCTGTGTCTCTAGTTACAAAAGAAAAACTCAACCTGACCATTACATTTTTCATCAGAACTGTTTAGCTTTCTTTAGCTCCTCTTCTATTACAATTAATTCTAAGGCATTCTTTCCTCACTGAAAGGTTTATTAATGTCTTTAAAGCAAAAGAATTACCTAACAAATTCTCTATGTTTAGAGAGAGAGGAGAATCTGAAAAGTTAGTTTTTCTTTAATATGCCTCAAAGGAAAGTCTTAGCAAATGCTTTTTATTACTACCAACATCATATTTTTTTTTAGGAAATTAAAACAATGTAAGCATGAGTTACAAAAGGTAAGTTTGGGAATATCGAGGGAGTCAGATTGTGAAATACTTTGGAAGAGCTGTTAGCATGTATTTATTTTTATTTGAAGCAGGTAATGAACATAATTAGTGGATTCTAGTGGTAGGGAAATCCAAAGGAGGCAAGGAGATGGTCTGGGAAGCTGTTGTAGTAACAGATTAAGAAGGAACTGTAGGAATGAAGAGAAGTGCTAGAGTCCAGCCATATTTAGAAGACAGAGAGGAGAAGACCCAATGTGAAAGGTGAGGGAAAAAGGGCATATTGAGAATGGTGCCCTGCTTTCTGATTATAGCTACTAGATGGTGTTGGTGCAATTAACTGTGGTGGAAAATAAATGAGTAGGAATATATGTAAGGGGGAAATTCTGTTTCAGCTTGGACCCATTTCCTTGTAGAAACATGGGGATCCCACATGATCTGGGAACTGATTTAAAATCAGATTTTCAGGCAGGACTAGTCAGTGGAATCTGCCCCTTCAATGAAGAACAGGCTGTCATTTAGAACCCTGGTATTGTGATGAAGATCTCCCAGTAAAACATCCCCCTTGCTACCTTGATCTTTTTCTTTCTTTTTTTTTAAGGTAGTGCTGGGGTTTGAACTCAGGGCCATGCAATTGCTAGGCAGACACTCTACCACTTAAGCCTTGCTCTTGCTCTTGATCTTATTTAAGGTTTGCGACATCTTTGCTGCACACCATTGACTTGAAATATAAAAGTGATGTCTAAAGTTCTAAGACTTGAGTACACCCTCCACCCAAGAACACAATAGGGACCTTCCTCAACACCCAACCATGTAGCCAAGCTGTGCAACTGATTTAATCCAATTGCTCTACAAAGTGTTGCTAAAATTTAGTCTTAGAAGTGTTAGGAGGAGCTCTCTTGTTGGACGTGAACAGTTGTGGCTTCCATGTGATGGATGAATATTTACCAGTGTGACTCATTGGTCCCCATCTTCCATTGTTCATGTGGGTCACCATTAAGGGTTTTACTTTGGTCAGGGGGCAGTGCTGAGGAACATAGCAAGGGCTTTCCAAATAGTAGGCAGGTGCTCTTCACTGGGCCTTATCCTTATGCCTTGAAGGGCTCACAGTTTTTAGTTCTTACTCATTTCTTTTGGCATTACTCTTTTGCCATCATGAAAACAGAAGAAAAGTTTGTTAACCAGACACCAGGGGCTCACGCCTGTAACCCTACCTACTTGGGAGGCTGAGATTGGGGAGATTGTGATTCAAGACCAGCTTGGGAAAATAGTTCGTGAAACCCCCATTTTCAAAATAACCAGACCAAAATGGAGTGGAGGTGTGGCTCTCAAGCGGTAGAGTGCCTGATTTGCAAGTGCAGAGACCTGAGTTCAAATCCCAGTCTTACCAAAAAAAAAAAAAGAGAGAGAAAGAAAAAGAAAAATGTTTCAACACCACTTCATGATAAAAGCTCTAAGAAAACTAGGAATAGAAAGAATGTACCTCAACATTATAAAGGCTATTTATGATAAACCTATAGCCAACGTTATACTCAATAGGGAAAAACTGAAACCATTTCCCCTAAAGTCAGGAATGAGACAAGGATGCCTATTCCCCACTCCTATTCAACATAGTCCTGGAATTCCTAGCCATAGCAATAAGGCAAGAAGAAGAAATAAAAGGAATACAAATAGGTAAAGAAATAGTCAAGGTATCCCTATTTGTGGATGACATGATCCTGTACTGCAAAAACCCAAAAGACCCCACCCCAAAACTCCTAGACACCATAAACAGCTTCAGCAATGTAGCAGGATGCAAAGTCAACCTGCAAAAATCAGTAGCCTTTCTGTATACTTACAATGAACAAACTGCAAAAGAATATAGGAAAACAATTCCATCTACAGTAGCCTCAAAAAAAACAAACACCTAGGAATAAGCTTAACAAAAGATGTAAATGACCTCTACAAGGAGAACTACAAACCACTAAAGAAAGAAATCAAGGAAGACTACAGAAGATGGAAAGATCTCCCATGCTCATGGATTGGCAGAATCAACATAGCAAAAATGGCTACACTACCAAAAGCAATCTACATGTTTAATGTAATTTCCATCAAAATCCCAATGACATTCATCACAGACATTGAAAAATCTACCCTAAAGTTCATTTGGAAACACAAGAGACCACAAATAGCCAAGGCGATACTGAGCAAAAAGAGCAATGCTGGAGGTATCACAATACCCGACTTCAAACTACACTGCAGAGCCATAGCAATAAAAACAGCATGGTACTGGCACAAAAACAGATATGAAGACCAGTGGAACAGAATAGAGGACAGGATATGAATCCATACACCTACACCCACCTTATTTTTGACAAAGGCGCCAAAAACATACAATGGAGAAAAGACAGCCTCTTCAACAAATGTTGCTGGGAAAAGTGTTATCTACCTGAAGAAAACTGAAATTAGATCCATGCCTAAAACCCTACACTAGTATCAACTCAAAGTGGATTAATGACCTTAATATCAGATCTGAAACCTTGGATTTAGTACATGAAAGAGCAGGGAATACCCTGGAAACAATAGGTATAGTAAGGACTCCCTCAGTAGAACTCCAGCATCCCAGCAACTAAGAGAAAGGATGGACAAAGGGACTGAATGCAATTAAAAAGCCTCTTCACAAAAAAAGAAATGGTCTCTAAACTGAAGAGACCACCCACAGAGTGGGAGAAAATATTCACTGGCTATACATCAGACCAAGGACTGATAAACAGAATATACAGGGAGCTCAAAAAACTAAACTCCCCCCAAAATTAATGAACCCATAAAGAAGTGGGCAACTGAACTAAACAGAACTTTTTCAAAGGAGAAAGTCCAAATGGCCAAAAAATACATGAAAAAATGCCCAACATCCCTGGCCATAAAAGAAATGCAAATCAAAACCACACTAACAGTCCACTTCACTCCTGTTAGAATAGCTAGCATCAATAACACCACCTTCAACAAATGTTGGTGAGGATGCAGGGAAAAAAGGAACCCTCATACACTGCTGGTGGGAATGTAAGCTAGTACAACCACTTTGGAAAAAAAATATGGAGGCTTCTTTAAAAACTAAACATAGATCTACCATATGATCCAGCAATCCCAGTCCTAGGGATTATACCCAAAAGAATGCAACTCAGGTTACTCCAGAGGCACCTGCACACCCATGTTTACTGCGGCACTATTCACAATAGCCAAGCTATGGAAACAGCCAAGATGCCCCACTGCTGACAAATGGATTAAGAAAATGTGGTATTTGTACACAATAGAATTTTACTCAGCTACAAAGAAGAATGAAATTTTGACATTCGCAAGTAAATGGATGGAACTAGAGAACATCATCTTAAGCGAAGTTAGCCAGACTCAGAAGGCCAAAAAATCGCATGTTCTCCCTCATATGCAGATTATAGACCCAAAACAAATGCAGTAATATTATTGGACATAGGTCACACACTAAGGGGAAAATGTGCATGGGAGGAATAGGGAAAGGGAAGGAAACCTAAAATTTGAATATGGTTGATGTGCTCACTGTAGAACGAATATAATAATCTTGAACTGGCGGAGGCCACTATAGGAAGGGGACTAGGAAGTAGTGAAGCGGTCTGGTAGAGATGAACCAATCTGGGTTGCAATACAGAAGTGCATGGAAGCAATGCTAGGAATCTCTCTGTATAGCTATCTTTATCTCAAACTAGCAAAAATGCAATGTCTTTCTTATTATCTCTTATATTATTATCTCTTATCTCTTATGTTTTCTCTTCAACAAAATCGGAGAAGAGGGTGGATCAGGTTCTGCCCGGAAGCAGGGGAGGGGGGAGGTAGTCCAAACAATGTATACACATGTAAGTAAATGTAAAAGTGATGGATGGAAGGAAGGAAGAGAGGGAGGGAGGGAGGAAGGGAGGGAGGAAGGGAAAAATGTGATTAATACAACCCCATTGAAATCCCTAACAGAAGCTTCCATTGTGGAAGCTACAGGCTTGGACTCAGACATTTGGCTCCAGCTGTAAACCAGGGAGTCTATTTATGCTAAGGAAATAACACCCAACTGGAGTCAAAACACCTGCCTTCAAGTCCCAGGTTGCCATTTCTTTGGGTCTCACTTGAGTCGTATGGCATTTCAGAAAAAAATACTCAAATTATTGCAGTCACTGTTGCATCTGTTTGTAGATTGTGGTCAAAAAGGCTAAATAAAAGGCTGTAAAGCCAAAGGATTATCATCTCCCACATGACACAACCCCAAACTGCTAGGCTTTTGTTCCAAGCCCAGTGTCTTCCATCTACTCTTCCTCATAAAGTTCGCACTGCTTGTAGCTATGGCAGCATTCTTCATTTAAAGGAGGAAAAAAGATAACCCTTTTCTCTCGCAGTGCATAGTATGGGACTGGGACTCCAATGGCAAGCATGACTTCATTGGAGAATTCACCTCGACATTCAAGGAGATGAGAGGAGCAATGGAAGGGAAACAGGTATGTGCGAACCATTGTGGTATTGCTCCAGGCATTCTTTATGGTGTGTGGTTAATGCCAAAGGAAACAGCTAGAGACAAAGCATCAAGGCATGATCAGGTCTATAGAAAGTGAGTGTGGTGGGATTTGATTCTAGAACTAGCTTAATCCAAAGCAATTATGCAATTTCAGTCACGACACTGTCCCTACAGTTTTCTCCACCAGTTAAATGGAGAGGTTAAATGAGAAATTTTCTAATTTCCTTTAGCTACATAGTCTTGGGAAAGTGACTCAATCTTTTCTCATTTTTTCTCACCTAAAAATGAGGGTGGTAATTGTACCTACTTCATACAGTGTCATGAAAATTAAATGTGACAATCCATGTTATGTTCTAGCAGAGCCCCTAGCACACAGCTAGCACTTCCAAAACACCTGCTGTAAGCAGTAGTAATTTTTTTGGCTCTACGTTTTCGTGACTTGGTGACATTGATAATACATGTAATGCTTTGGAGAAATGATTGAAATTCTCCAAATCTTTATTATGGGCACCAGATTTTCATCTAGTTTCACAATTTCACTCTTACACACTTGATAGTGAGACATGAATCCATATCCCACCACATACCAGAGACCCATTGCAATACACAGAAAGCTAAACCCTTTCTGTGTTTCTTACACACACACACACACACACACACACACACACACACACACACACACCTTTTCCTCTTACCTGTTCAGTATTTGCCTCCCCTTTTCCACCTTCAGTACCTGAGTCTCCTTCTCTAAGGGCTCTGTCTGGCTGCTGGAGCTTGTTTTGCTGATGCCCAAAGCAAGCAGGAAATGTTGGGGGAGATCTAACACCTTTCAGGAAGCAGCTGTCAACAAAGAAGTAACGGAAAATGAAGTATAAATATCCCAGCTCCATTGCCCTTCAGGTGGCAAAGCTCTGAGCTGTGGGCTCGGTGTGGTTTCCCAGAGTTCCCAGTAGAAATAAACATAGTTTCCCACAGTAGTAACTGACTTATGTCCCACAATATATTCATGAATGACTTATGTATGTAATATTGCAAGAAACTTGTCAAACACACAGAGACCGTCTCCCACAAGCAGGCATACAGAGTTTCATGGACACTACATTAGAAGTGAAATCACTCCCAGGATAATAAGGAACATGACCAGAGAAATTGTTACTCTATTAAATGTACACAACCAGGCCCTATTGAGCTAATAAATCAATGACGGTTTATCAACACCACCTGCTAGAGTTCTATAGTATCTTACAAAGTTTTATCTTATTCACCTCTACAAATAGAAATAGCCAAATCAATAAATAAAGGAAGTATGTCATTTTTTGTTTCTAAGAGGGCATTAAAAGTAGGATTATAACATATGTCATTATTGAAAACCATCAAAGCCTAATGCTTTCAAACAAACAGATAAATCTTTAAGTCCAACGGAAGACATGGACCATATGCTACTGCACTTTTCTGTGTCAGTGAGATGCCAGAAACATTTAACTAAATCACCAGCCCCTTGCTGACACACTTGCACAGTGGAAACTCTTCTCTTCTTTATTGATTCTGCAATATTTAGTGAGGATCAAAGTTCTAGGTACTGTGCCAGGCTCTAAGTGTGCCATGATTAACTATGCCTACATTGTCTCTGCCCTCCTGAAGCTTACAGACTGGTGGGAGTCAGGGCAGAATATACATACAAATCAAGTAGACAAAAAACTTAAATGATAACAAATGCTATAAAAAAACAGAACTCATTTATAAAACAGTGTGTCAGAAGAGATGATCTAAAAACGTGACATTTAAATTGAGGCATTTTAAGGATTAAAAGAAGCCAAACAGGCAATGATTGAGAGAAAAGCACTGGAGTCAAGGGGAATAGCATTTCAAAGTATTGAGGCAGAAAGAGCTTAGTGACTGAGCGCTTGGAGCAGAGAGAGCAACAAAGCCATGCATGGGATGTGGTTAAAGACAGGGCAGAGGCCAGAGAAAGCAGATTCTGATAGATTCTTCTAAACATGATGAAGGCACACCCAAGTTGTATACTCTAATACAGTAGCCACTAGCCACATGTGACAATTTAAATTTAAATTAATTAAAATAAAAATAAGTAAAAGGAATTTAGTTCATCAGTCATATTAGCCCCATTTCAAGTGCTCACCAGCTCTGTGTGGCCAGGGACTACCTTTTTGATCATACAGGGACAGAATATTCCCAAGAGTGAGACAGTTCTGTTGGGCAGTCCTTTGAGGGGTTTTAAGCAAGAAGTGGTATGACTGGTCTTAATGTTTTGAAAGATTGCTTTGCCTACTGTGGAGATTAATGTCAATTAGAAACAAAGGAGTGAAGGAGGGAGATCTATGAGGAGGAGACTGCTGCTGTGGATAAGACAAAGTGTGACACTGACCTGGATAAATAAATGGTAATGGAGACAGAGAAAGGTGAAGAGATTTAAGATGCATTTTGGTGATGGGATCTATAAGATTTGTTGAGATACTGGATGTCAGGAGGAAGGGAGGGAAGAAAAGGATGATACAAGGAAAGATAGAACCTCAGATGAGGAAGTTTTGTAGCAGGGAGATCCACTTGTGAAGAAAATTACAGAATTAGGTTTTGAGAAAAATGGCACTGGGAAGAACTTACCTGTAAATGTATTTTAGGAACCATCAACAAAGAAACAATAGTTAAAGTGGAAAGAATGTATGAATAACCTAGGAAGATAGGATAGATGAGAGGACTATCCTCATCTCATCTCATGGTGGAGGTTTGAACCATGAGGAATCTCAGTGTGTAGTAGCATCAGAGGGGAAAAGAGGAGGCACCACTGTTCAAGCTTCCTTCCCCTATGGAGGTCATGGTTCTGAAGGTATAGCATCGATTCTTCATTAATTCTTGAGTCCTTTCATAAAAATCTTTTGTTTGAGAAGATCAAAGGGAAAATTTATAAGATTAAATAAAAGAGCTTCTGAGACCCTACTAGAGTGAGGCATGGTGGCCAACAGGCCAGGATTTGAAGTGAAGCTGATATGAATGTGAATCCCAGACCACTGAATGCAATTGTCCAGTTCCTGCTAGAACCTCCTCCATGAGAAACTATTATGTTATCTGTTGCTAAGTAACAAATTACCTCAAAACTTCCTGGCTAAAAACAGCAATAATTATGTGTTCATCGGGTTATGGGTTGATGATTTTGGCTGAGTTCACCTAGGACAATTCCTCTCTGCTTCTCATAGTGCCAACTGAACTCTCATGCATTTGTGTCTGGGCACCAGAGGTGGTTGGGACATTTCTCCATGTGTTCTTTTACCCTCTGACATAAGTGTTTTTTGCATAGTGGTGAAAACTTCCCAGAAGCAAAAGGAAGCCCCAGTGCAGTGGCACTTTTCCAGTCTCTGTTCATATCACATTTGCTAATGTCCCTTAAGCCAAGACAAGTCACATGAGTAAGCTCAGCACCACATGGGAATGAATTATACAAAGGCATGGACACTAAGATGAATAGATAGCTCATTGGAGTTCACTGATGTGCCAGTCTACCCCATTCATATCTGCCTCCGAAATTGTTCCATTTTCAGACACTTCCGATAGTCAAGGAGTGAAATTTTGTCTGCTGTATGGAAACATCAGGATTCAGTTCCCATAGGTTCATGGGCAAGAACATGCAGTGACTCTTGGATGTTTGGCTCACAATTTATTTTGTCCTGTGAAATCTTCCATAGGCCAGAAAGGCTGAGAGCTGTTCACCTACATGGTTCTTTAGCGCCCAGCTAGCTCCTCAGTTCCCAGCCACTCCCAAGGCTCTAATCTGTAGTGTCACTGTTATGACATGTATCAGTCCATCATTTTAGTTATCACTGAAGTTCTGTGGAAACTCAACAGTGTTAATTTCCTATAGTCAGCATTCCTGAATTTTTCAATTTTAAGTCATTTCTCAGGTACTAAACTTTAGCACTTGTGCATCATTCAATCCTATGTCTACAGATATTTTCTCATTCGTAAATTGACCTTATGAATAGTCCACATTTTATGGTTTAAAATTTATTACATAGATTAATCATTTAATTCTCACAGTAGTTCTATGAGATAGATACCATTATAAGCTCTATTTTAATTTTCCAAAGCTGAGAAATGAAGGTGCTGGAATTTAAACCAGGGTAGTATGATTTCAGAGTCTCACTCTCAATCATTCCCCTGTACAGCTCCCCTAGATGCAAGGGTTACAACCTAGAGACCACTCATCAGTCCTCCAGTCTAGTGCTTTCACAGCAACAGCTAAGAGTTTGGCCTCGTTGAGTGACTCGACTTCTTCCTGAGCAGGCTCTCATGCTACCACTCTTCTTGTTGCAGGTACAATGGGAATGCATCAACCCCAAGTACAAAGCCAAGAAGAAAAATTACAAAAATTCAGGCATGGTGATTCTGAATCAGTGCAAGGTATGTATGTAGGCTTCTCTTCCAAGACTTGTGAAGCTATGACTTCATAGGAGGAAGAGTTCAGATGGTGTCGTCAGAGGGAGAGAATATCATAAGGAACTGATCTTTGAAAGACAGAATACACAAAAGCAATATATTAATGGATATACAAACAGAAATGTAATCATGGGTGGTCTTGGAGCTATGGTAGCCCATTGCCACTATCCCCTTCCCAAGGACCGTCCTTTCCCCAAAGACAGGGGAGTCCTGGTCAAAGGTCAAGCTATTCTGTACCCAGGAAAGTGTTGTAGGAAAATCCCTACATGGGCATCCAAAATTTCTGCAATACCTACTACTTGCTTGTCACAGTGTTTAGAGTTTCATATATGGTACCTTACTAGTGCTGAAAGGGTAACATGAAAATCAGACAATGGAAGAAGATTAAAGAGCTTTGAAATTCCTCCCAAAGGAGTTCCAGCCTTATAGAGAATTCCATATGCTAATTATTAAACTTCTAAAATTGTATGTGAGAGTAATTCCTGTGCTAGTTGAATGGTATCTGAGAATAACTACAATAAATCCCATTTAACTTTTTATCACAACCCCAAGATTTCTACTTTCAAATGAGGTAATATAGGTAGCTCAGAGTCACACAGGTGATAAGTTTAAGAACTTAGATTTTTTTTTTATCAAGCCAAATGTTTTATTCAGCATAGATCTGTATGGAATTGAGAAAGTACTACTTGTCCTATCAATAATTACATTAAAATATGGAACAACTGAAGATATGTCACTCACCTGTGATATTTTTGAAGGCTTTTTTTTTATTCATAAGTGCATACAAGGCTTGGGTCATTTCTCCCCCCTGCCCCCACCCCCTCCCTTATCACCCACTCTGCCCCCTCCCTCTCCCCCCTACCCTCTCAATACCCAGCAGAAACTATTTTGCCCTTATTTCTAATTTTGTTGTAGAGAGAGTATAAGCCATAATAGGAAGGAACAAGGGTTTTTGCTGGTTGAGATAAGGATAGCTATACAGGGAGTTGACTCACATTAATTTCCTGTGCATGTGTGTTACCTTCTAGGTTAATTCTTTTTGATCTAACCTTTTCTCTAGTTCCTGGTCCCCTTTTCCTATTGGCCTCAGTTGCTTTTAAGGTATCTGCTTTAGTTTCTCTGCGTTAAGGGCAACAAATGCTAACTAATTTTTTAGGTGTCTGACCTATCCTCACCCCTCCCTTGTGTGCTAAAGCTTTTATCATGTGCTCAAAGTCTAATCCACTTGTTGTGTTTGCCCTTGATCTAATGTCCACAGATGAGGGAGAACATATGATTTTTGGTCTTTTGGGCCAGGCTAACCTCACTCAGAATGATGTTCTCCAATTCCATCCATTTACCAGCGAATGATAACATTTCGTTCTTCTTCATGGCTGCATAAAATTCCATTGTGTATAGATACCACATTTTCTTAATCCATTCGTCGGTGGTGGGGCATATTGGCTGTTTCCATAACTTGGCTATTGTGAATAGTGCCGCAATAAACATGGATGTGCAGGTGCCTCTGGAGTAACAGTCTTTTGGGTATATCCCCAAGAGTGGTATTGCTGGATCATATGGTAGATCGATGTCTAGCTTTTTAAGTAGCCTCCAAATTTTTTTCCAGAGTGGTGGTACTAGCTTACATTCCCACCAACAGTGTAAGAGGGTTCCTTTTCCCCCACATCCTCGCCAACACCTGTTGTTGGTGGTGTTGCTGATGATGGCTATTCTAACAGGGGTGAGGTGGAATCTTAGTGTGGTTTTAATTTGCATTTCCTTTATTGCTAGAGATGGTGAGCATTTTTTCATGTGTTTTTTTGGCCATTTGAATTTCTTCTTTTGAGAAAGTTCTGTTTAGTTCACGTGCCCATTTCTTTATTGGTTCATTAGTTTTTGGAGAATTTAGTTTTTTAAGTTCCCTATATATTCTGGTTATCAGTCCTTTGTCTGATGTATAGCTGGCAAATATTTTCTCCTGCTCTGTAGGTGAAGAACTTAGATGTTAACTTGTGTCTGTCTGATTCCACCATATAGGACTTAAATGCTATCCAGATTTTAAACACAGAGAGAGAGAGAGAGAGAGAGAGAGAGAGAGAGGAGCCTCAATTTATGATGGGGTTACCTCCCAATAAACCCATAGGAAGTTGCAAATGTTGTAAATTGCAAATGTATTTAATACATGTGAGCTACCAGATTTGACTTAGCAACACAGAGTATTGATTATTTACCCTCATGATTATTTGGTTAACTGGAAATTGGGGTTCTCTAGTGCTACACAGCATCTGAGAGTATCATACTGCATATCCTTAGCCTGGGAAAATATTCAAATTAAAATTATGATTTCTACTGAATTCATGTCACTTTCAGACCAACATAAAGCAAAACAAGAAATCACACACCAAACTATTTTGAAGTGTAGACTCTGTGGGTGTGTGTGTGTGTGTGTGTGTGTGTGTGTGTGTGTGTGTGTGTGTAGATCAGATTCCTTCTCCTAGACTAGTCTCTCTATGGCAGCCAAAAGCTGTATGACCACATCCTTATATAAAAAGATAATAAAGGAAAAGGCTCATTGGTCTGGCTTGGATCACATGCTGACCCCATGAACCAATCACTGAGATTAAGGGATACTGTATTGTGATTGGCCATCTGAGGTCATTGAATTAATCAAGATTTTATTTTCCATATTTTTTGATGTTTTGACATCTTGGGGCCTTGTATACCTGGGGAGGAACTGCTTCACTTGGGATTATTTAATTCCTAGAGATGGCAAATAACATGCCTTCTAGCATGTCTTTAGTATACAAATTCATCAATCCTGAGTCCATATCCTCATACTAAGTTCCTTACTGAATGCTCACACACCAAGTCAACATTCCTCCTGCATTACATCACCCCAGGACCAGATATCACACAACTAGAGACCATCCCAATAGCTCCAAACTGCTGAAATAATTAAAACTATCTGATTAACTCGATACCCTGCCTCACCCATTGCTTTCTGTGAAAATCACAATCCAAACTTTCCCCTCACTTCTGTCTCCTGACTGACCCCATTTGGGGCATGACATGCCTTCCATCCTTTGGAGTCCTGTATATAACAAACTCTTTTTAGAAACACAATTTCCTCTTCTGCAAAGATAATGAGCACTTGTGCATCACTCAAATATATGGCTCTTCTTCCCTCTGCTGCTTAATTTGGCCCTATGGGTAGTACACATTTACTCATTATACCTGTACAAAAAAATCTTAGGTATGTTCAAAACCTCCACATGATCATCTCTGTGCTCAGAGAAGCAAAAGAAAAAAAATGTGGATGAACCAATTCAATTGTCCCTTTAAAGTGACTGTGCAAATAGCTGCTTTGATTTTCCTTAAGGTGATCTTAAGGAAAGTGCTCAGTGACCTCTCTTATTCACTCACTTCCAAGTTCTTACTTCCTTGATACTTTCAGGCAAAGTATTCCACGAGCAGGCATTATTCACAGGGCCAAGTGAATGAACACCACTTTGAGAAAATCTGCCAGTAGATGTATATACCTGGAGGTGAGATCTCCAGAAATCAACAGAGAAGTTTCCCCTAAGCATCAGATGGAATCCTAGAAGTAAGGGAAGAAAATCAGTTACTGGTTCTGCAGGTAGAAGGAACCAGACTGCAAGGTCCATGACTCCAGCTACCGTGTCTGTTTCTTTAATCACTAAATCCCTAATATTTAGTACATAGTGAGTCCTAAATACATACTTGTTGAATAAACAAATAGATGAATATCACTAGGAGCTAAGTAGAAGAATCATAAAGAAGCAGAAATTGAGTCCAGAAATCAATAAGTTTCATGAAAAAAACAGATGGTGGCAACTGACAGAAGGCAACATCCATCAAAAGGTTGGATTTTACCATCCATATTTCCATATGAATCCCAACTTCACCATTTACTGGCTATGTGATCTTAGCCTTGATTTCCTCATCTTTAAAATGGATATAATAAATACTACTAATAATAATACCATTGTCATAGGGATGTTCTAAAAATTAAATGAGATAAAGGATATTAAGTCCCTGACATAGAGTAAGTGCTCAATAAATGCTAGTCATTGTTGTTCATGTCATGGGATGTTTTTAACTGGACATTATCAATAAAAGCCTTCTCAGGTAAATGTATCTTAACGCCATCAATCCAGATTACCTCCACATTAAGAATGTTTCCTTGACTAGGACTTAGACACAGCGAAGAAACACTAAAGTGAAAGTTGAGACATTATTGATTTCAAAACAGTAGTGATGCTTGAAAATATAGTTTTGGTCTCACCCCAGAGGCAAAGATGATTAAAACTATGTATAAACCAAAAGAAGTAGGAGTAGGGGATGGATATTTGTAGCTCTCATGGGCTGGTCTGTATTGACATTGCTTTATTTCTCTCTTTTAATGGAACAAAATCGATTGACCCATTCTTCCACAGATCTCTCACTGCTGTTTTCTCTGGTTAACACTCTATCCCCAAAGTTTAGGCCTTCCTTCTGTAAAGAAACAGATCATGCTGTTCCTAACTCACTTTTCCTTCCTATCCAGATCCACAAGATGCACTCTTTCTTGGATTATATCATGGGCGGATGTCAGATCCAGTTTACAGTAAGTTGTTTCATGTTTGTTCATACTCAGTGAGTAAGGAGTGGGGAATGGCATTGCGTTTGGGGGCTTAGAGATCCAGAAACCTATTAAAACCCTGAGTTAGCTTTATTCAAAACTTATTGCTGAAATATTGAATGAAATTGTACTTTTAAAATGAGTTCATACTCCTGGATTTTTTTTAGTCAGTATGGTACTCAACATCATATCAGAAAATTCATCTCACTCATCCTCAGGTGGTTTGGGGAGCCCTCCTATTGCTTCCTATTCCTTCAGTAACTGTCAGGCATGAAGAAGTGAATAGATTGCCAGATTCCATCACATGGTGAGAAGGATGGGTAGGAAGTGAACTATACTAGTACATTCCACTGAACCAACTCAGTTGCCTTGTTTGTGTTCATGGGACCACAACACAGTTACCAATGTCAGAACTAAGGGTCATTTCCAAGGGTATGCCATCCAAATGATTACTCAGGCAATGAAAAAGACTGTGGAACAAGACTAAAATCAGGTTGAAAACAGAATAGGTGTCTCGTTGCAGCCCGTGGATTAAGGATCATTTTCTATATGTACCCTGTTAGTCCATAGGATTGATATTCTCCTAATATGTGTTTTGGATGGATGGGCTGAGTCTTCTTAAAGTGCCCAGGTAGGTCAAGGTTCTGAGTGCATCTGCCCTGGAACAGCTTGCTTTCATTCACTTAATATTTAAAATCTTCCTGGGTTTGAGCAGATGTAACCTGCAGAAAGAAAATGCCCACATGGCAAAAGTAGATGAGCTAAAACCTATGGGAAAGTAATAGACACATTGTGCAGTATTTGCTTCTCATCTTACAGAAGTGTACTCATGAAGCCAAGCCCTCTTTAATTACCTAGACTGGCTCAGTCACATGAGGAAAGCATGGAAAATGGGTTTGATGTTTTTGTTCAGGTCTGAGTCAAAGAGATTTGACAGAACCAATGTATTCCTGGCCCAGAGAATGGTATTCAAAAGACTAAAAGGGAGATTCCCAAGGGGATAAGACAAATGGTCACTTGATAAGCCAGCTTCTCCCTAGCTAGAGACCTCTCTAATCTTAGAAAAGTTTACGTAGACCCTGCCTAAACTCAGGGCATTGCTCACTTACCCTCCAATAGTGACAGGAGCTAGTTATTTGGTCACTTCTTTAAAGCCTAACATTCTGTAATAAGACTGCCACTCAGACCTCCTCCATGCACATTGGTACATACAGAACATAGCAAATGTGTTTACTGCGGACGCACACCCCTGACCCCAGCTGTCTTCTAGGCTAGTTGTTCTTCTGGGCCTATTCACAGGGAAGTAGGGAAGCAAGCAATGTCACAAAGGAGAGCTACTGGAAATAGTTTCCCAAGATATTAGACAAAAGAATGATTTCAGGAAACTATTTATAGATTTTCAAGGGAAAGTTCTATTGATTTCAGTTTGTTTTAGATTCTGTAGATTCTATACTCTTCAGAAACTATTCAACCTTCAGTGGCTTGCTTTGCCCTTGGAGTTGTGCTGCAAAGGATCAGCCTCAATCAAAGCCCCAGAAGTTTAACCCCAAAGCCTTCCCAGCTCCACACCCTGACTCACATATGCCTGTGGCCTGCTGGATGCAGGAAAATTGTCCTCCCTGCTTTGTTTTCCTCTCTTCTCTCACTCTTCTGTCCTTCCCCAGTTGATGAGGTGCCACCTCAGTGTTCATCACCAAAAGCACCCCTGTTCCATCTTCTTATCCCCTCAAGTGCCTTCTGAAGATCCCGTGGGAGATGTGAGTGGGGATAGCAAGGAAGGAGAAGAGTTGGGGAATGTATTAATAAACACTGAGAAGCAGGGGCCAGACCATCAATAGTTCCTGCCACAAAGCCCTTCCTCCTGTAGGTTTCAGGTTGAAAACTTAGAAGAGAATTGCTAGGAGTTCTGCATGTTCTAGTAAAGAAACCCACCCCACCAGTCACTTCAATGTCACTTGCTTCCCAAATTAAGTCATCTTTCTCATTATAAATCTTATTGTTCAAGCAGGACAATTTAATATAAATAATAAGCTAAAATTCAAATAGTTAATAAAAATTGACATGCCTTTTTATTTGATCTACAAGTGTTTATTTTATTTGACAGGGGAACAGCAGAAAGATGAGACGTGGGGAGAGGAGAACTTCCTGGCATGGAGATAGACAAAGGGAAATCGAGGGAGGAAAGTATTTTTGCTGCAGTAATTACACCTCTGAGCCTTTCAAGGCAAAATCTCCCACTGGCACACAATATGCCCTGTGGGTCGTCCTGAGCACAGGAGGAGTACGAGCCCAGGATGACGCAAAGATTTTGTGCCCGACTGATAGAGCATGGTAGTCTTGTTCATGGAAATATACATGTCAAGAGGAGCTGTAGGAAAGAGGACAAATTTGGATTTAGACATGTTGAAAGCACTTTTAAATGAAGATGGTTCTTACAAAGATGGACCTAGATTTCAGGAAAGGGGTGGGGCTAGACATATCTGGATGAGATAGTCAAAGAGAAAAATGCAGAAAGAAAAGGCACCTGATGACAGAAATTATAGAGGACCTCCACCTGGCAGTAAAAGAATAGATACCAGGAGAGCAGAAGTCTGGGGAGATATAGTAATGCAAAAAGTAACAAGGTGAAGGGCAACGATTCCACTTGCTAAAGAGGGTCAGGAAGAAGAAGAATCACTAGAATTGACAAGATTGTTTGATGAGCAGACATAGATCATCTTCCAAAGCACACTTTTAGCAAAATGAAATAGGTGAGACCGTGAAGTTAGTATGTAAACAGAAGGTGATTAAGTGAACATAGCAGGTAACAATAGTTTTCATTCAAAAAGGTTGACAGCAAAGGGAAAGCCAGAGGGAAAAAGAAGATGGCAATTTGAGGATTAAGAGGATAAGTGTTGAGCTACAATCTGATCATTAGCACAAGAGAAGGGAAAGAGATGAATGGTGTTAAGTATTCTTATTTGGCCACCTGAACACTTGAGATCCTGATACATGGACCTGTATGCTCTCACGAGAAAATACACAAACTCAGTTTTGCACTCAATTTTGGGAGGTTCCAGGCACCCCCGAGGACCAGCTTTCTATCTCATGTGAATCCTAGAGCAACTGCAACGTAACAGTGTTGAAAGAGGTAAGTGGAGGTGAACAGAGACAAGGAGAGAGACTGGGTTTACCATATGGCTCTGGAACTAAAAATAAAACCAGATACTAGAATCTTACACACAAAACACAAAATTATAGACAGCACGGAAGAGACAGACACCATAAGGTATATAGAAAGAAGATGGTAGAAAGATTAAAGTTTCCTTTGAAAGCTGCTGCTTTTACAGCAGCACAAAAATGTTCATTATAGCACAGCTTTTCACAGATACAATCTGCGGTCAACTTAAATGTCCAACAATAAAATATAAATCACAAAATTTCCTTTAAATGGACTATGATAAAGCCATTTTAAATTAAAAGTAGAATTGTTAGGTAATAACATGAGGCTGTGTCTATGACATGGTGTTAAATGGCAAAAATTAAAAAAAATACCCAGAAGGTAGCCAGACTCAGTGGGGCATATCTGTAATCCAAGCACATGGGAGGCAGGAGGACTGCATGTGTGAGGTCAGCCTGAAATATGTAGTGAACTTAAGGCCAGCTTGGGCTAAAAACTAAAATAGAAAGGAATATAAAGCAGAGCCAATCTATAATTACAACTATGTAATATACACTAAATATACACACACCTTGCATATACATGTATATATATGATATGTATATGTGTGGAGATACATAGACAGACAGACACACTCTGTAGTTTAAGCATATTCTAAAAAGGCATGTATTGGGAAATTAATTTCCACAGCAAGTGTGGGGAGGTGGGGTCCAGTGGGAGGGTCATAGGTAGAAGGTTCCACCCTTTTGAATGGATTAATATCAGTTATAAAGTGCACTAGTCTGAACATTCAGTCTCTCGCTCATGCTCACCATCTCTTGCTCTTCTGCCTTCCACCATGGGATGAGGCAGCCTTATAGCAGCATTGTTCTCTTGGCCATTCCAGCCTTCAGAACCATGAGCCAGACAAACCTCTGTCAATTATAAATTACCCAGTGTATGGTATTCTGCTATAGCAGCATAAAATTGATAAAGACAATATTTTATAAAATAACTAGAAAAGAAAATAAAAAGTACATACTAGGCTAGAAGAATCTCATGTGATACATTTTTATTATTTTCAGATAACCATTTGTCTCCTTTGTAATTTAAAAATTGAAGCTTATACTCTTTCCCTTGCCGCTGACTTTATAATCTACATTTAATATTAGATGATATAATAAGCTGAGTATGGCTTCTTTCAGACTGATCCTCCAGACTAAAAATTCCATTATCTATCAAAGTTTCCCGTGGGGAGTCTTTTCTAACCCTAACACATACATGCATCTTACTGCTCACGCCATCTCTCCTAGCTTAGTTTTTAAATCTTTATTTTATGTCCCAGACTGGATACTGCTGTACTCTAAGAAATGAGAGTGAGTCCTACCTGCTGAACTCTGACTAAAGCCAGGATATACCTGGTTGAAGAGGCAAAGCCTTTGCCATTTCCAGAGAACAAGCCAGATGAACTCAGGGGTCTTTCCTTATTTTTCAATTTCACAGCCCTCTTGGGGAGTTTTGTGGGAACAGAGTAGAATATAAATTTAGCCTATCATTTAAGAAATGGTACAGAGTAAACAATCTCTCCCATACAAGGCTCATTATGTACGTCCAAATTGTATACAAAACATTTTTAAAGCTGCCTCAGAGTGTGATATCATAAAGATGGACTTCACATAACATTCAGAGCAAGGTGTGAAGGATCACACCTGCAATCCCAGCTACTCAGGAAGCTATCAGGAGGATCACGGTTCAAGTTCAGTGGGGAGGGGAGGGGCAGAGTTAGCAAGACCACATCTCAATCAGTAAGCTGGGTGTGGCAGTGCATGCCTATCTTCTCAATGACATGGGAGCATAATTAGGAGGATTATGATCCAGGCTGGCCTGCGCAAAAACCATGAGACCCTATTGGAAAAATAAGTAAAGAAGAAAGGAAGGGCTGGAGGTATTTTCACATGGTGGAGCATCTGCCTATCAAGTACAAGACCTTAAGTTCCACCCCTAGTAGCACCAGAGAGAGAGACAGACAGACAAACAGAGACAGAGAGAGAGGCTACTTCACAATGGCTTCCCTTAGAAATCAGAAGATTCTCAAATGGCCCATCAGTCACATGAAGGGAAAACTGAGTTGCTTCATGGAGGAAGCCAGAACTGCCCAAAGAAAGATGCTCTTCACTCACTTCCAGCCTTTTCCCAGATGCAGCGAGATGCACTGGGGACTCAGTGGCATCCAAAGAGCATTTTGCATTTTTTCCCCTATAAGATTTTGCAAAGCTGCTCTACAGTTCTGCCTAATAATGAGAGTGGCCCCCTGGGCAGAAGGAAAAAGCAATGGGCACCTGTTCTCAGGCTTCCCACTGAGAAGATTGGAGCACATGCCAGAACCACAGGTTTTCGTAAATGCTTCATATCAGGAAATGAAAACGCAGTAGTTCTGCTAGCTCCCTGGCCTTCGGGAATCCGGTGTCTGCAGCCACCTCCACAAAATGGCATTTTCAGTCATTTTCTTGCTTTTATTTCCAACTAAATCCCATCTTTCACTGCCTCCCTGTTGCTTTCTAAAATAAATCTAACCTTTCGCTCTGTTCTCCTTCCACTAATGCTAACTTGAAAGAGCACAGAGAATTTCCAGTAGAAGGCCACCCCCCGAGGATAGAGAGTTTATCTCCATCTTCATGAGGAGACTTTTTCTGTCATTTGACAGAAAAAAATCTTTTGGCTGCCATGTACTTAGGCTGTCCATTGCTATCTAGTCACATTTTGGGAAAATATATTATTTTTATAAGCCATCAGAACTATAGAAAGGGCTAGGATTGGTTTATTGGATTATTTCCTTTTACATTCATTTTCTTTTTAATTTATACCCTCCCCTATACCTACATCAGAGTCTCCTGAACTCAAATAGCCTCTCCAAGTGTCATAGACACAGAGATAATTCCCATAGGAAAAGTAGAAACAGTCAGAGTTCTGTCTATAAAAAGTAAAGTTTCTTTCAAGCATGTTTGTATTTTATACAGCACCATCAAGAACAGGCAGCCCAGAATTAACCTTCTCACCCTGACTTCACAGTTTAATTATTCTCAGAATATTTTATCCCCCCCAAAAGATGGCCGCTGCCTTTCCCTGATTGACATCCTACTCCACATCAAATATGTCACCAAATCCTATTCCACTTCTACCCTTTATGCGTTCAGTCACAATCCCTTTTTCACCATCATCTCTGTCCCATCCTAATTTGTTAAAAAATAAGGAAATTATTCCAAGCCTGAGCATGAAGATTTGATAGAAATGACATAGCAGGGTCAGGATGAGGATGAAGCAAGGGAAGCAACTGGGGTGCAAAATTTAAGGAGGCATTCACTCACTCTCCAGACAGGGCAGGTGTAGCATCAGCTAAGGACAGGTGAATCCTTGCGGTTTATATCCTAGGCACCTCTTTCCCTTACTCTAGCCCTGGCTTTGTAATGTGTTTTTAAAGTTATTTTGAAACATATTGTGGCCCCATCCAGACAGGAAACATACTTCTCTGGATACATAATGTACTCACCCAGGTGATACACCCAGGCCCAGATGTTGGTCTTTGCTGGCTGCATGCCTAGAGGACCTTGCCCATGCCTGGGAAGAATAACAGTGACAATTCTCTTTCTTTAGTTGCCATTTTTCTTTATGGACTTATTCTCTGGTTTATATTACCTGACTTGATTCTCTAGTTTCATATCAAGACACTAGCATGTCTTTATCAACAAATAATAACCTTGGTACTGCAGGAGTCTCAGTCAGATAGTCAGCACATGGGATGGGATGTCAGCTGAAGAATCAAGAGGCGCAGGTGTGATGGTTTCCGTGGTAAGCAGTATGGTGATCTATGATTAGGGACATCATGAACAAGTGAGGTGAACCATAAGACTTATGTTACAGTATTGTGGTCAGGGGCATAGCTCCATGACAGAATACTTGTCTAGCATGTATAAGGCCCTAGGTTCAATTCCCAGCACCAAAAAAATAATAAATAACAAAGCATCAACAGTTCCCAATGATTTATTTTTTTAGATAAATTAGAATAGAAACAAGGTAATACTCATGCAACATCTTCATACTCTTTAGAATTTCCCAGAGTTCTGGGATTTTGGTTGGCTGGTTTGTTTTTTTGTTTGTTTGTTTTTTGGGTTTTGGGTTTTTTTGCGATAGAGTCTCACTGTGTTGCCCAGGATGGCCCCAAATTCATGATCCTCCTACCTCAGCCTCTTGAGTGCTGGGATTGCAAGTGAGGGCCACTGCGCCCAGCTTGGAATTTCTGAGAGTTTCAAAGTGCTTTCCTCAGTAGGAGGGAAAGGAGTGGCTTCATACCTGGCCTTCCCAGTTCTGCCTTACATTGTATATACTATGTATACATGTGTGATGTGCCATTATCCCGTACATGCATCTCTTCAGAAGAAAGAGGTGGGGAATGGTAGCTCTGTGAGTTGCACTTAGCAAAGGAGGCCCCCAGAATAAGATTTCTTCAAAGACCATCTCTCATGCACCTCTTGAGCTTTCGTCTTAGAGACATTTTCCTGAAATGTATGCATTTGACCTCTGTCTACCCAAGGTCTCATGGGTAGATTCCAGGGTGTTTTGAACCTCTTTCTTGTACACATAATTCATGTGGGTTCCTCCCCATCACTACCTTTCCATCATAGTCCTTGATTAAAAGGATGCTTGCCCATTGTCTCCTCCCTCTTTCCAATGAATTGCCTTTCACTTTCAAGATGAAGCCCATCTCAAAAAAAAATTGCATTTAATTGGCATTTGAGTCAGCTCCATTCATCCTCATTTATATACCTTCCCGCTATTGTGCGTACATACGCACACGTTTTTATGTCCTTTGCCTGCCCTTTACAACTGTTTTCATCACAAAGAGCTGTTTGATTCAGGGCCAGTCTTCCCTCAATTACCATTGTTCCCTCCTAGCTAGTCTCCTAACTACAGACCAAATCCCCTCCATTTTTTATGGGAATTGTTAAACCCATGAGAATTCTTAGTGTGCTGGTCACAGATTTACATGTTCCTTTTGGTGTATAACACTATGAAGCAATGTCTTGAAGGCAACAGAATTGGATTTAAATCCAACTTCACCCTGTATTACCTATGAGAATTTCATCACCTTTGGGCATCACCATTATCATCAATAAAAAGGAAAAGCGATGTCTACCTAGCAGTTTTTGGGAAAATGAAATTGCATAATGCCTATAAAGCAATTAGTTCAGTGCCTGGCAAAGGGAAGAATTTAACTAAAGCTACTCCTCCCTTCCCTTTGTCATCTAAAGTCAGGGCATTTCAGGGCCAGGGAGGTACCTTCCCAAGATCTTTCTGTTCATACACTTAGTACTCACCTATTACTAGTAGTACCCCTTACAAAAACATCTGGGTATACTGAAAAGAGTTTGAGTCCTGCCTAAATTAATTTTCAACATTGTCTTATGGAGAGGTGAGGAAGAAAAGGGAAAAGAATTTAGTAATGAAAAAATAACTTCATGAAAGAAAGAAAAAGAGGTTATTAATGAATGACAATTAGTCTATTACCTTTCTTTTCTGTTCTCTTTGATTTGATTGCAGAGTTGGGGTTACAATATTAGACATGGGAAATATTTTTCCTATAAACTGTACTCCTTACAAAAGCACAAATAAATACATGACATCTTTTCTCTGTCCTTCCATAAGTAATGCCCCATTTTAATAAATCCAATGACACACTGCAGTTATTTGCTTTAATAGAATTTTCTAAGATAACACAAATGGGACTTCCCAAATCTTATGATTTCTCAAGATCATATGAGAAAATAGTCTTCCTGTCATTCATAAGCCAGTGAATGCATTCTACTTTACACTGGAGAGAAGAAGAAGATGCAACATGGGCATTCCTTCTTCCTTCTGAATTCTCATTTTAGTCTCCCCCACCCCAAGCTGAAGCAGATTTTGAGAGGTTTTTAACTCAGTTGACTTTAATTTAGATGGTGGTGCTGTTGGAAACTAGAAGAAATATTTCTTCTCATCCCAAAGCCCTCAGGCTTAAGCATTTGTCTTATTGGTTTTTTTGTTGCTAAGTATTTGGTAAGTTAACTTTTATTTGGATGATTATGAGTTGAGGGGGTCAGGAAAAAATTAGAAAGTTGAAGGATAATGACTACTTGGTAGCAAGACAAGTTTCCCTTCTCCATTTCTCACTCACAATGTCAAAATATTTAGGAATCTTCTATGTTACAGGCAGGAGTTCTTGCATGAATGGAAACCAAAAAGTTGAGTGCCTTGCATAGTTTCTTCTTGCAGAAAAATTGTTATAACTACTTCAGTGCATCTCTCTGCACTGGCCACTCATGAAAATATGACAGTAGCTTTGTTAGGAGACTGTACTTCAACACAGAATTTGGTTTTAGGGGATCTTACCTATGCCTCATAGATGGAATTGTTCAGTCAGGGAGCACAGAAGTCTTTTCTTAGTGAATTGTGAAATTGGAAGACAGATACTCTGTCCTTACTCTTGCTGCCTGGTGACATGGATCAACAGTGCCTGGGCTTTCTGACTTGTATGTCAATCTCAAGTTCCACTTTGGACAGAGAGAGGGGAGCGCCTTGGAGAGGAGCATTAAAGACTGTAGAAATGGCCTCAACCAAATTAATATCTAGTTTTTCAGGAAGCTAATGAATTTCTTCTCTTACTTTTCTTAATGGCAGAAAATGTGTTTTTTTTTTTTCCACCTGAAGCCATGTCTTTCTCATAGTTGATTGTGATTCCTAAGTGATGCATTCATTTTAAATCAACCCACCCTTCTATTTTTCTCTCCCAGGTAGCTATAGATTTCACTGCCTCAAATGGGGACCCCAGGAACAGCTGTTCCCTACACTATATCCACCCTTACCAGCCTAATGAATACCTGAAGGCCTTGGTGGCTGTTGGGGAGATTTGCCAAGATTATGACAGGTAAGAGACTTGAGGTTAACTGTAGCCTTATCTCTCAAATGGATTCAGATAGCCCTTGGCTGATCCTTGGCAAAAGAGTACGGGTGTGTGTGTGTGTGTGTGTGTGTGTGTGTGTGTGTGTGTTCTTAGAGAACATAATACATCCTTATCCTTATCCCAAACCTTTCATCATTTCCACATCTGAGAAACTGTTTGCCTTTCTCAATTCAATTACCAAACAAAATGTTTTCTCCTTTTTCTTCTTTTAGTTGGCACTCAGGACCACTGCATACCAATTTTAGTCCCCATTTTTTTTAAGGTGTAGGCATGTACCTTGCCATTCACAATTTGATCCTGGACTAGCATCATTCCAGACCTACTAAACTGGCATTTGCATCATAATAAGATTCCCAGATAATTTGTGTGTACTTGGAGTTTTAGAATCATGAGTTTTTTGAACATTATTGCATGTAAACCTGACATGAACTCATATAAAGTAGGTATTATTTTTTAAAGGCAGAAAACTATAGCGGAAAGTTAAGTCATTTGTGTAATGATATGCAGCTGGAGTCAGGATATACACCTGGATCTCTCATCCCATAGGTTAAATTCAAAATTCAAAATTACTACTTTGACAGCTACTGGCAACTTTAACAGGTGTACATCTGTGTGTCCATGGAAGTGTGTGTGTGCATACATAAACATGATTTTGAGATCAGATCAGTATTATTTATTTCTTCTTAATGGTAAACACTGACCTTTCCCACCAAGAGTATTTCCTGCGAGAAGTAATTTACATAAATTACATTAAACTGGATTTATTCTGCCATTCCAGTATTTCAGATAGAGGTGAAGGAGCTCCGGTATTTGTTTAAGAAGGCTTTACTAATATAAATATAAACATCTATAAATCTCAGTTGGCTCCCTGGTGTGATTGTAAAACAAGTCTAGTTAGTAATTAACAGCAACTAATTGACCATTTAAACCAATAAAATAAAGCAGGGCTGGGAGTATGGTCCAAGTGGTAGAGTTCCTGCCTACCAAGCACCAGTCCCTGAGTTCAAACCCCAGAACCACCAAAAAGAAAGGAAGGAAGGCTATCCTCCAGATTTAAGGAAGAAGGAAGGAAGGGAGGAAGAGAGGGAGGGAGGGAGGGAGGGAGGGGGGAGACACCATCTTCTAGGTTTCAGAAATTCCATAGGACAGCATAATTTCTGTTCTTTCTAATTTCATAATTGATAATGGCCACTTCAAAACCTGATACTCACACACCATAGGAAATGACATCCTGGTGCACAGAGATACCTACAGGACAGGTTATGGGAAAGGCCCAATCGGTCTCCTACATACTGGGATCTCTGGGTTCAGCCTTGTCACCACCAGTAACTCAAATAAGGCATGAGGGCAATTTGGCAATGAGTTATCCAGTCCAATAAGATGTAAGAGCTTTAAATGTTCAATACCTTTCTGACGTTTCCCCTCCTGCACATCTAGGGCGGATATAAGAAGTGACACTTCTTATACTTAACCTTAAGATATTAACTCTGAAGATAACTTGAGTTTCAGTCCCAATATAAGGAGGACTCCTAGAGCGGTTCATATCAGATGAAGATTTCTACTAGGGGAGAAAAAAAGTCTGACCAATTGCATCTATATTATGTCAAAACTTCTTCAGATTTCCCCAAGACACAAAACAGCAATCATCTCCATCCCTTCACCTTCAGACACAGACACATACATATTGATAATATGGTATAATCATTTGTGCACATATTAAGAGATAAGAAGGAAGGGAGGGATTATTCTTAATTTTTAAATCTTGAAATACATATAAAAAGATAGTTTGGGAGTGGGAGTGGTGGTACATACCTATAATCCCAGCTACTGAGCAGGTAGAAGTAAAAGAATCATTGTGTGAACCTAGCCCAAGCAAAAAGTTATCAAGACCCTATCTCAGCAAGCAAGCCAGATGTGTGCGTGTCTATAACCCTGACTAATTGGGAGGTGAAGGTAGGAGGATTACAACCCCAGCAAAAACACAAAACCCTATCTGAAAAATAACTGAAGCAAAAAGAGCTGGGAGCATGGCTCAAGTGGCAAAGCACCTGCCTAAAAATGCAAGGTCTTAAGTTCAATTCTCAGTACTGCTAAGGAAAAAAAGTAATAATTTTGTGGTACAGTGGTGCATCCCTATAGTTCCATCTACTCAGAAGACTGAGGCAGGAGGGTCCCTCAAGGCCAGGAATTCAAGGCCAGCCTGGGCAATATAACAAGACCCTGTCTCAAAAAAAATTAAAAGATTAAGTAAAAGCACTCAACACATAATGCAGTAGATATCATAATAGAAAAAAAAAAAAGTCTCTGAGTCTACATTGAAGAAAGTCATTCGATAATTAATTCCAAGAGAAAACTGGCATGTTGTCCAAAAATGGAGCTTCCAAGGCACAGAGCACTCATGGTCATTCTGCAGCAGACTTACTGGCTACCTGAGACTCACTACTATCAAGGAGCTTTTATCAGACACCCCCTGGTAAGCAACTCCTTTTCCTGGTAGCTCCAGTGCAAAATGTAAATACTATAGTCAGAGTGACATGCACCTCTTTTAAAGCTTTCATCCCTTGGGAATTTGAACCAAAGTCTGAGGAGTATTTCATATTCCCTCAAAAAGTATAGATTCAATATGAAAAGAAGATACACCACCTTAGGAGTTACATGAAGAATCTTCATAAATGATTCTTTCTAAATTTTTAATAGGGTAAGTCTGAAGTTATCACCTCCAAATGGCAAGAAAATCAACTTTCTGTGTCTTAGAGGAGCCATGTGATTTTATTTATTTATTTATTTATTTATTCATTTTGTATGAAGAAGCCAGCTCAACACTAAGATGGGCAAATACTAAAGAAGAAAAAGAGGACTGGAAAAAACTCAACACTCTTTTAAGAGACTCCCTAGAAGAATGTGTAATGCAAGCTTCTCTCTTAAACCCTGACAAGGTTCCTTAGTTTCTCCTTTGTGTGGGTGGAGGGACAATAGACAGACAGAGTCAGAAAACTTCAAGTCGGGGCTTTGGAATTAATTTATCCTCGCATCTAAGTCAGTGAAGTTGGTGCTTAAAAAGAAACACTTGAATAAAAACTGACAGAAGGCATCAATCCCCCTCCTGCAGCAACACAGAGGTTTTTAATCCCCAGGAGCCTTAGAAATTCCTCCCTGCCTCTGACAGCTGAGAGTTTTCTTTCCGTCTTGTACAGTGACTGCTACTGGGTCATTATGAGGTGATCCATGAAGCAGAACAGCTTGAGAGATGCAAAAGGCTCTTCTCAGAGGGCCTTAAAGGGAAGCTCCCCCACCACCACCACAAAATAGCTGGTCCCAAGCCCAGAAGACAATCCTGTCAGCCCATGGTGGCCCTCAGCCTCTGGAAGAGACACCAATGCCTTGCCTTCCCAAGCACAAACACTTGTGCATACATGCACAAACACTAATGTGGACCTCTGAGTATGTGTGTCCATGTGCACACATGGGTCATGCACTCCCTACTGGTTATAAGCATGTCCCCAGTTCCTGTAAGCATCACGGTTTTCTTACACTGCCCAAGGCCAAGGTGACATTCTTTTCTTGTGACCAGGAGGGATGTGGGCCTCTGATCACCTGAAATGTCCTTTAGTGAAATGACTGAAAAAATTCTTGCTATCATAAGAGTATAAAAACACTGCACTGCTTGGAAGCACAGACTGTCAATTTATGGAAGTGGCCATCTCAAAGGAGACCAAGGCAGGCATCTTCCTCCACAGTGTGCTAGGTACTAATCTGGAAGACAAAGTTAGAGCTGAAGCCCAAGGTGACAGGTATTCTGAAAGATGCAGCATTGGGCTAGGAATCAGAACATGGGGTCATATCACAGTGCTGTCTTTTCCATTCTGCCAACACCACACAAGGGATCTCAGCTTTGGCTACACACTGAAACCTCTTGGAAAGACTTAAATGTGCTGACACCTGGGCCCCACCTCAGAGACTATATTTAATTGTTTGGTGTGCACATAAGAATCTGGATGTTTTATTCTACTAGGTATCTAGGGTTGAAAACTAGAGTTAATTGGGAGTGATGGGTCAAGTGGAATGGCTAAGGAACTTTGCACCATCTGTATCTAAGTACCAGGCTGTTAAGACAGAAAAAAATAAGGCACAATTGTCCCCCAAGTGGCTCACAGGGACATGTAAATAAGTCACAGCCCAGCATGGCCAAGATGGCCTTCCCTGTGTAAGAATGGGAAGTGCATAAAGGAGGGTGGGGTTAACTCTGGCCTTCCCAAAAGAGGGGTGGCCAAGGAGAAAGGCCTGACAGTGATTTCTGAGCCAATCAGAATTCTGCCCTTTTTGTTATTAAAACACGAATGGACTTATTATTCTGATTCACTGGACCAGACCAGCCTCCTATGGAGGACAGAGTCAACAGTGGTAATAGAAGGAAGTGTGGGGTCCTGAAGGCTGGTAGACTTGGATTCAAATCCCAGCTTGGTACCTTTTTTGTCATGAAATATAGTCTCTGGGTATTGACTTCTTCTATTCCAAATTGAAGATGTATCTAATTTCCTGGCAGAGCAGTTGGTAGGATTAGATACAAAGTGGCTAGCTAGCACAGGTTCTGCCTGTGGTCAATGATAAATGGTGGAAGGCATTATCTTTAAGACTCTAAATTTATTTTTGAAAAAATAAACTGAACACAAAAGGAGTAAGGATTATAGTGCCAGAGCTAAAGGTCATCTTGAATCAATATATTTTTTGCTCATTTTACCCTGAAAAGGATTTTGTAAAAATGTGTAGCTCTCACACATTTTTTCCATTGAAATCTAACAGTTTTTATCTTGAGTTTAAACAGTAATGAAGAATGAAAATTCTGGAGTATTATAAATACGGACATCTAAAAATAAACTATTAGCACTCTTCTAACTATCCAGTAGAATCTACATGTCCTAGCTACTTGATATCCACCATTATCCATTTTAAAAATAATTGCATGA